CCCCCCCCCCGGGGAACAGCGGGAGGCGTGATGGTTACTGGCAAAAATCACAAGCCACACCCGTGCCCATTCCACTATTCAGGGCCCACCCCTACCAGCCCCATTCCCCTTCCTCTCTTTAGGAGAGGGCACATGTCTGTATTTCTATGTGGCCACTAAGTCCCACCTGGTCTGAGATTGTCCCAGTGCAGCCTATTGTCCTATCATAATTATTAAAAGTGTCAGTTACATGCTCAAGTTGTGTTCCAGTTTAGAGGATAGACTCTTTATCACCTGACATATCATCCCCAGCTGGTATCACGTGGGCCTTTCTGTGTTTGGGAACTCCCAACCAGCCTTGTAGATTCAGCTGGGCAGTTAGGTGACAGAATGACCCTGTGGTTCTGGTTTGAGGGAGGTGGGTCTCCAACAGCAAGAGAAACAGGTTTGAAAAGTACTGTGCTCAATACAGTGTGTCAATGTGGACAAAAATGACAAAACTTCTTGCAACCCCCAGATGACCACAGGGCCCCCGCCTCCCCCACCGTCTATGTCTCCCCTGGCCCCACCCTTGAGACGCTTCGCAGGACTGCACCTCCACACCACTGACCTAGATGACGTCCCCTTGGACATGTTCTACTATCCCCCCAAGACTCCCTCTACCTTACCTGTGATGCCCCACCCCCCATCCTCCAACCCACCTTCCAAGGTCCCCGCGCACCCCATACTTCCCTCATCAGGCCACACCAGCACCTCATCCTCACCCTGGGTGCAGCGCATTCCACCCCCCATTCCCATCCCTCCCCCCCCATCCATTCCTACCCAAGACCTCACTCCTACCCGTCCTTTGCCCTCGGTGCTGGAAGAGGCACTGGGCAGCCACCCCTTCCGTGTTGGGGACACAGGGAATCCAGCAGAGGACTGGGAGGAAAAGAACCAAAGTGGGAAGCCCACCAACTCCCCTGCTCTTGAACGGAGCTTCCCACCCACCCCAAAGGTACTGCGCTTGTTTGGTATGCTGTGCTTGTAAGCAGAGGGTGTGGGGGCTGTTTCCCATGCCCTCCACCGCTCCTGTGAGTAGAGACAGAAGGAAATGTCATCTCACCCCTTTTCCAAGAAAGGAAAGCACCCCCCGCCCGCCAGCTCATGTGTGTAGATATCGTGCATGCGCATGGTTTCTGCTGGTCTTGAAGTGCTGTGTTGCATGGGAAATTGCTGCAGGCCTTGGGATGAGAAGCAGTGCGTCCATTCAATGTCATTGCTCCTGTTGGCTAGCGAAGGCTGATAACCTGCAATGTGTGGTACTTTCAGGTTATGCAAACATATAGTTAGCTCTGTGTCATATCCCATCATTTCTTGATATTATCCCCGAAAGCCTTGACTATGGGATGGGCTCCATTGTTTAACAGGAGCAAAGGGGAAGAGGAAGCCACAAAGAGATACTAGGCTCTGATTAGGAAGCCATAACACCATCCAGTACAGTGCAATCTTAGGACAGTTAGTGCCATTTTCCATGGCACTCGCCAGTTACACTGGCATCAAGTATAATCAGACATTTCTGTCCAAAATCCAGCTAAAGGAAAAATGAAGATGAGAGAGTTCCTAGAAATCTCCAGTTTTGCTATTAAAAGACTAGGGATGTTTTTCTTGGACATTGAGAGATTGAACAGTGATATTTTCAAAAAGACATATTTCTCATTAATTGTTCTTTATCCAAAAACTATTTTGGAAGAGGCGATCCCTGAGGAAGACATGGAGCTTTGATGCTGAGAAAAACAAAGTGTCCTTTGCTCCCATAAGTCATGGGGCTAGTTTGAGTCAGAGTTAGGGCATCTCCATTAGCTGGGAGGAGGGGTGTTGGGGAGTCGTCATAGCAATGTTTTTGTTTTTGTTGTTACCAACCTTTCCATTTGAGTTCCTGCTTGAAGAGCAGAATAAGCCACTCAGAGCATCCAAGAGAGCCAGGATGGGGAGAGAGGTGGAAATGAAGAGAGTGACAGAGGCTGGCAAGGCTCCCAACAGGATGCTGTCAGGTCTCATGCCCCCTCTGGACCTCTGGTGGGGATCCTGAGTCTTGTAGCTCAATCTAAAAAGGAGCAGTGTGCTTCCTCTAGAGGTATGTCCCCCAGATCCCAGCCGGGAACTAGGTGGCAGGGGACTCAGTTAGACTGGTATATCTTTCTTTGTAAGTGGCCCCCAGCAAGGTAGACAATAGCACTCCCTCAACAAATTTGATTCTACAGTCAGTGATTGCACCTCTTGGTCTGAGGGGGCTGAAGAGCATCAGAGGAGACTAGCACACCTGTGCCTTCTAGAATTTTGCCATGTGAAGAGAGAGCAGCTGTCCAGGCAGGACTCTACTATCAACCAGGCACAGGCCCTGTGCTATGGGAGAGAGAGGCTCATCCAGTGGGAGGTTGAAGACACCTCTCCACGTTTAGGGCTTATGAGCTGAGCCATGAAGGATGTGACACATGGAAGAAGCAAGAGAGGGCATCACAGGAGCAGGAAGATAAAGATGGCAGGAGGAACGGCAGGGAGTCAGACTGCCTGGGCTTGAATTCTGGCTCTGCCACTCCCTGACTGGATGACTTTTGGCATGTGTTACTCCATGGGTCTGAGCCAGGGCATTCTAGTCTATAAAATAGGAATGCTGATGGCCCCTACCTATTGTGAGAATCAAATGTGATAATACATAAGCAAATGCACAAAAATAATATGTGACTGCATTCTAAGTTAATGCTTCCAAGAGTGTTCAATAGACATTGACTGTGGTTATTTACAGTCCAGACTGCAAGTACACTATTTTTTTTGGTGGGACTGGGGTTTGAACTCAGGGCTTTGCACTTGCAAAGCATATTCTCTACCACTTGACTCACACTTCCAGTCCTTTTTGCTATGGCTATTTTGGAGATGGAGTCTCACAAACTATTTGCCAGGGCTGGCCTTGAGCTATGATCTTCCTGATCTCAGCCTCCCAAGTAACTAGAATTACAGGCGTGAGCCACTGGCACCTGGCTACAGTACAAGTAAATTTAAGTGAAGTGAAAAACATGGGATTAAAGGTCATCTCAACAAATGTTAAGGCAGAGTCAATATTAAAGATGGGGTCTACTTTCTCAGATTCTTTAAGGAATCAGGAAGTCCCCACTGTTTGGTCCTGAGCAGAGCACAGGGAAGGTTAAACGTTCCTTGCACAAGGAGCCTCTGAGGATCTGGATCATAAATGTCTTAAGTGACTCAAAGGCCAGGGGGTTGCCCCAAGTTAGCACTCTGGCCCCACCTACCCTGCCAAGTGCCCTCCCTGAGTGCCCCTAACAAGTCATCATGCGGCTGCAGGAGGAAGTGTGGGCGACTAGACTGACATCTGCACAGTCAGCCTAGCCACCAGCAGGCCTCAGGCAGTGGAAACAAGCATCTGTGTCAGCTTGACACATGTGCCTAACACACCAGCACCTTCCAGAGGGAGTTTTCAGGGCCAGATCTACTGCCTGGCATGCCCACCATACTACTGAGTCAACACGTTTGCCAAGTGCCTACTCTCTGCCAGACATGGAGCTGGACACTGAGAACCACCACTATATAGGCAGTCACTGCCTCTACCCTAGACCGTCTGGTGGGAAAGAAAGACAAGTTGGTAGGCGACTGTCACACTACTGGAGCAGAGCTAGGGGATGCATGTGTGCTGTGATGAGGCATGAGATGTGGGGCAGAAAAGCTCAAGGAAGGCTTCTGAACGGCAGTAATGTCCAGGCTAAGACCTGAACAGGTGAAGCAGAAGGAGGAAAGAGCAGGTACAAAGGTTTGGCAGCAAGACAGCCTGGCATTTCAGAGGCTAAAGCAGGCAATGTGAGGAGGCTGGGAAGTGTGGGGCTGAAAAGAAAGGTAGAAAGCTCATGAAAGGCCTTGGGGTGGAGTTAGGAGCTCAGTAGTCAGTGGGGACCTGTAAAAGGGTATGGGACAGGGTTGTGATGTGATCAGATACAGATAAGTCTTGCCCAAGATAAGCAAGTTGGTTAGAGCAAAGCACACAGTTTGCGTCAGCTCTCCTGGACTCTGTTCTTACTGGTCCTCACCCCAGGAACTCTGGACACTCCGTGCCCAGTCACCGGAAACAGCAGATGGCTGTGCTACAGTGCAGAGGCTGGACTGTGCCCAGAAGAGGAAACCCTTAATGGGAGAGGGTGTAGGGTGTCCCCATGACCATTGAGGGAAAGACTTTAAAGTGTATCCTCTAAGTGACAGTGGCTGCTGGTGCCCCCAGAGCAGACTCTGGCTCAAGTGGCTGATTCCTTAGAGCCACTCATACTATACTGTGGCCAGTGGAGTTTTCATCTCCGTGCTGAAGAACAAACCCCAAGGCCTCTGGCAAGCTGGATGGGCCAGGCTGGCTCCTGTGGATGGGAGTGCATTTGCATGTATGTAGAGTGCCATGGTCAGCCTTGGCCATCCTGCATGTGGGTCTCTCTTAAACTAACCCCTGTAGACATTTTGCCCAAGCCCACAGCCTCCACGAGGCCCTGGTGTGTCCACCATCTCCAAACCTGTCATGGTCCACCAGGAGTCCAACTTCATCTACAGGCCAGCTGTGAAATCCGAGGTCCTGGTAAGCCCCTTGAGTCCCCTGCAAGGTGTTTCTAGAGGAGTAAGCCAGGGCTGTCTCCCCTGGGTTCTGCTACCTCTAGAGAGAGAGTGAGTTGGACGCAAAGTCAGGACATGCACAGTGGAATTCCTGTTCCCTGACTGACCTCAGAGCCTGCAATGCCATCTAAAAACAACAATGCTAATAACTAAGACTTGGTAAGAGCCTGCCATGTAAAAAGACTCCTAGTGTCATTCCTGTTTAAAACTTGAGGAAACTGAGGCTTTGATAGGTGAAGTTGGTTGCCCAAGGGATAGCCTGAACTTACTCCCAAGTCTTCTGACTCCAAAGACATGCTCTTACCCACATTGCCATCTTGTCAAAACCTAGCAATTTCAATGGCCCAGGCCTCTGCCTCAAGGTCTGTGTGACATGGCATGGAGCATCCTCAACTGGGGAACTGGCCAGTGCAGGTCCACTCCCTGTCTCCATTTTCCTTCTCACTCCTCACTAAGACAGTCCTGGGTGTGGTCCTGGGGAAGAGGGAGAATCCATCCACTCCAGGCCCCAGTGACTGAGGGAGCTGGGTCTCATGTACATCCCTCACAGTGCCAGCCTCTGACTGGCTTCTCATCTGAGGTGGGACAGAGACAGGTTAGAATTTTTATTCCCCTTTCAAGGAAACTCTATCCAAATGTCAGGGCAGGCCACTCAGATACTTATTTTGAGCTTTAGCTGTCTAGTCAGCTCCCCAAAGGACAAAGGTCATGCTCCTGGAACAGTCTGAGACATCCAGGTCGTTCTCTGGTGGTGTCTACTTGACTGCAACTAGGCAGCTGCTACACTGAGAGCATTGAATGTGCCCCTAACATAAATCAGACTGATCTTTGCGGGGAGGGATGTCATCAGGGCAACCCCAGGCTGGCAGGCCCAGGACCTGGCACCAGGGGGCAGACAAGACCTATTTTTAACATCAGGTGGGGAACTTTTTTCTTTTTTCTACCAGCCGCAGGAGATGTTGAAGAGGATGGTGGTTTACCAAACAGCATTTAGACAAGTAAAATGATACCCATCTGTCCTGTGTATGGTCCTCCTCACCACCTGCCCCTCCCACTCTGTGCCTGACTTCTTTCTATCTGAGAGTGCTGGTCAGTTCCAAGGTGGCCCAAGCACCATCTGCCAGGGAACCTTAGGCCAGCACTATGTTCTCCTTGCCTTTAGGAGAGGTTCAGGGGAATTTCTTGTTACATGGGGAACCAGGGCTTGTTTAGAACCTGTGCTCCTGCTAAGAAATCCTCAGGACTCCTGGGCGCCTACCTCTTCTATTACTGCTTGCTCAGAGAGGAGCAGGATAAAGAAAACCCTCAGAGGCCAACAAGGGCCCTGGCTCCAGTCTTTGGAGAGAAGAAAGAGGCTGCCTGAGGTGTCTCCCTGTGCCTTTGCCTGTCTGTCTCCTCCGAGCAGATCACAACTTCATCAAACCCTGCTGAACCAACCTAAGGAAGAAGTGGAAGCTTAGCTCCTTTCACCCAGAGTGCTCCTGTACACAGGGACATGGAAGTCCCTGGTGGCCTCTGAGTGGTATCAGGCAGGTGGCCGACTAGCATTCCTATGTCCTGGGGCTGATGTCCAAAGCCAGTGATTGGATGAGCACTTTTACCTTCAATGAAAGAGACCCTAAGATGGAGGGAGACCTGGCAGGCAGCCCTTTCTTCTCCAGCCTCCCATTCACACAGGCTGATTTGACACCAGCAGGGAATAGAAAAAAAAAGAGGCTGCTCCCAGACGAGGACTGCAGAGGGCAGGAGGCAGCTAATCCTTAGACTGTGCTGTGCCAAGCACTGCTCCTAAATATATTATGTTTACTAACTCGTTTAATCTGTACAACAACCCTGAGGGGCAGTGGCTATTATCTTCCTCATTTTGTAGATGAAAAACAGAAGCAGAGAGACTTGGAAATGCATCCATGCTAGCACAGTTGTGTCAGACCCTGGATTTGGATCCAGGAGTTCAGGTTCTGCAGTCTGCTCTTAAATGCTATCACCTGCCTCTCAGAGCACTGCCATTGCAAAATTGACATTGAAAGGCCTGTAGTTTAGGGCACAAACAACCCTCAAAGGGAGAGAAATATGAAAGGAGTCTGGGCTCCAGGCTTCGAATTAAACCCTTGTTCCCCTGCCCCCTGACTGAGTGACTTTAGAACATTACTGTCACTGCTCTGAGCCTCAGTTTCTCCATCTATTGAATGAGGAGTGAGGATCCCTCTTTAAGAGCCAACCAGCTGTAATGGCTTATGAGTCTGTGAATGCATATAAGGCTCATCCGTGAGAGCAGGTTCTCAGGACCACAAAGAGAGGAGGCCATAGGCAGCATTGCTCAGCTTTCCAGAAGGAATGCCCAGGATAGGCAGGTTCCTCTCTGTGAAAGGGCATGGCTCCTAATCTTGTTTAGTGATCCCTCTTGTCCCCAGAGCTTGGTTGTTGCATGCTAAGTGAGGTCTCTGGCCTTCCCACAATGCACACTGCAGGACCCAGGAGACACTTGTGTGATCTTGGGAACTGTGTGATGAGGCTGGTTCTGCTCAGTCCAGCAAGGCATGTGTAGGCATGTGCCATGGGGCTAAAATCTCCCTTTGGGGGTCTAGCTGTGGCTTTGCTGCCCTCTTTTTAGGCTAAGCATCCTGGCCCCTCAGGCCTGTGGATGCCCCTGGTTCTGCCCTCTTCTCACTTCCTTGTTTTAAATCTTGGGGACATTGTCCCCACAGCAACCTCATCAAGCCAGGATCCCAGAACTTAGGTCCTCTCTCTATGTCCCTCAGCTAAAGAACCAACCTGGGGAAGTCTCTTACCTTCTGGATGAGTTAAGAACAGCACCAGGCCAGCACAGTCTCACCACCACCACCTTCCTCCTCTTGGTGCCAGATGTTTTTGTTGTCTCCCTTGACCACCTCATATGTGGCTTTCCCAGGCAGAGCAGCCTCCTGAGCAGGCCTGGTTCCTCTGTGGGGTCAGAGCACTGGGTGGAGACACCTGGCTTCATCTTCCAAGGCCTGGCCTGGCCCCAAGTGGGGACCTGGAAGAGATGAGGTAGGGCCCAAAAGGCCTGAGGGGGTGACTTTTTGCAGGGCAGAGATCGCCCTCCCAGCACCCAGACACCAGCCGTGTCCCCCGCAGCCATGAATGCCGACTCCCTGGACAGTGCTGGGGGCTGGACTGCTTGCTTCCAAATGCTTCCTGCAGCTTCCCGCTTATCTTTGTACAGCAGCTGTGGCTATTGGAACTGCCACCCTCCTCCCTGCTCCCCAATTCCCACCACCCTTATTCCTTGCCCTCTCTCCATCTCTTATCCTTGGACTCATTCACCTTCTTCCTCTGCCCTGAGCTTGTGTTTGTAGTGACCTCAAGGCTTCTGCTCTACCAACTTAAAGCCCTTCCTTTGCTTCCAGGATTTCAGAAAATATGAGGAAGGCTTTGACCCCTACTCCATGGTAAGCTCCTGCCCCAGAAAAGTAATTCCAGGAATGGGGGGGTGGGGTTGGTTGAAAAGGTTCGGTGGTGGTACATCCTGGTTCCTGGGAGGTCAGGGAATGACGTGGGGCATGAGGAACCCCAAGGATGCCCCAGCTGCTCCTTCCTGTGAAGGCTCCTTTCCAATGGCCTTCTGGTCAGAACTGTATGGTGTGTGTGTGCGTGCGTGTGTGTGTGTGTGTGTGCATGTATGTATGTATGCATGTGTGTGCGTGTGTGTGTGTGCAGGAGTTATACCTGCCAACCACCAACTAAATTAAGGTGCTGTACTTGCCCAGTCCTCACAGTATTTCTAGAATGGATCTGGGACTTGTGTGGCCATGTCTATATGTGTGTGCATGTTCATGTGTGTCCATTGTCCCCGTGGGGCCTATGGACACTTCCACCCTTCAAAATTACTACTGTCTTTTCTCTCTAGTTCTCCCCGGAGCAGATCATAGGGAAGGAAGTCCGGCTCCTGCGCATTAAGAAGGTACCTGGACGGGTGGTTAAGGTCAGGCCACCATTTTTCTTTGTCTCTGTCCCTGCCACCTTGGTTCCCTGCTTCTCCTACTTCCCAGGTGACTCCTAGATGTCACAGCAGGATCTTCTCCTGTGGTGGCCACACACTCAGGTCCTACTTTGTATCCAGGTCCCATTTTTTCTAATGCTATGGACCAGGCCTCTTTCTGCTTTCTTGTGACCCTGGTAAGAGACACCTTGGTGCCCAGTGCCCACAGGCTGCTGTCTGCTTGGTCCCTAAGACCTGTTTTCTTCTAACCAGGAGGGATCCTTAGACCTGGCCCTGGAGGGTGGTGTGGACTCCCCAGTCGGGAAGGTGGTTGTCTCAGCTGTTTACGACGGGGGAGCTGCTGAGAGGCACGGTGAGTGGGGACCAGCCACGCCTGGTTTGGGCATTGTGTGATGGCTGTAGAAGGCCACCCTGGAAAGCAGACAGCTGCCCAAATACAGCAGGCTAACAGTTGCTCAAGAATGCCAGGTCCATCCAGCGAGCCATCTCCCAATCTCAGATGTTGCTTAGGAGTGTGCCAGGACCATGTGGGTGCACAGCCAAACCAGATGCCACCCTGACCTCCAGGGGCTCCCAGGCTAGTGGTGGAAATGTGCAGAATAACCAGATCCAGACAGCAACATCATCTAGTAAGAGTTAATGAGGAACTGAGAAGAGAGGGATGCCATTAGGGGCCCGTAACTCATGCAGGAGGGGATGCTGGGAAGGTTCCCTGGCAGGGACATACCCAAGCTAAACTATAAATGATGAGCTAAACTTTAAATGATGAGTCAATGCAGCTTGGGGTGAGGGGAAAGAAGCTTTCCAGGAAAAGGACCCACGCAGGGGTCCTTAGACAGGAGAGAAACTGTCTAAACTCTAATTGGTCCCACCAGTGATAACAGTTTGTCAGAACTAATCACATGCCACTTGATAGTCTAAGTGCCTGGCATGCAGCCTGGTGTTCAAGTGTTCCATGTGTATTAACTCACTTAATTCTTCCCACAACCTCCAGAGTAGGTGCTGTAATTATTCTCATTTTGCAGCTTGGGGAACTGAGGCAGAGGCAGGTCAAAGTACTTCTTCAAGGACCCACAGCTGGTAAAGATGGAGGCAGAACTTGAATCCCGCAGTTTGGCCATTTGGTTTCCTGTCCAACCCAAATGTCACCTCTGCCTCAGGTCTTCTGCAGCCTTGTCCCCTCCCAAAGGGCCTGCCACACGTGGGTCTCTCTCAAGGTGTGATCTTCTTGCTTTGCCATCCCCTTTTTAACAAAATACCCTCTGCTGAAGAGGGAAGCCTTTGGGGACCCAGGCTCAGTTTCTTTCTCTATCACTAGTGGTTGCTTCAGCCTCATCAGGGAGGCTTTCTTTGTCCCTGAGTGCTTTGGGAAGGCCCAGGTGCCTCTTCCTTTCCCAGACCAGAGTAGAGAATGCTATGGTCAGATCCCTTTGGGGGCAGGCCCAGGCTAGAGCCAGGCTCCCCACAACAACTGGAGGGGTAGAATAGAGGGGGTAGAAGATAAGGACCTGAGGTAGGAGATAGGGTCAGGCTTCTGCAGTTACCGAGGCAAATGTGTGCCCTGTGCTATCCAGCTCCATCACTCATGGCTCTGGTGGCCTCAGGTCCCTCTTGGCTACACTCTGAGCCTTCATCTTAGCTCTAGGAGGGGTCTGCTTTGCTAGGCAGCTGCCACAGCCCACCACTGCCAGGACACCCTCCTCCTCTGCCCCCATCTTTATGCCATATGAGGGAGGCGCTGCTGCTTGCCCAGGGAGGCCACCTGTCTTCTGTGTCTGACAGGTCCAGGGAGAAAGCACCAGGAAACACAGGTGACTTTCAAGGGCCCTCCCCACATACAAGCTCTAATCCAACCACTGCCTTATTGCCCCTGAGATGCCATCTTGGATTTGTACAAAATAGAAAAGTGAAAGTTGCCTATGCCCAGTCCCTCTCTCCAGAGGAAACTGCTGTCTACAGCTTGGTCCCATGCTGCTTTGGACATTCAAGTAGCTCGCAGAAGTTTATAGAAGAATGTGTTTTAAACCATAGTGGCTGCCATCTTCAGTTATACACACCACATTTCAACAGCCTTCATGCTTGTGAGGCTTTGAGTAATCTATTTCAGTATAACCCAGAGATGTTCTGTTGACACAAGGGCATTGAGGACTCCTCATATAATGGGGTTATGATGTCAAAAAGGTGTGGAAGCCATGCACAGTCTATCCACTTAGGGAACCACAACACATATTAACATATTCAAGAGTCTGACAAGTCCTGCAGTGAGTAACTTATTTAGCTTATAACTCAGTTCTCAAAATATTAGATTACAGGGAAGCTTATCCAGGAATACCTTTGAACATCATTCATTTGTTCAACAGATACCTGTTGAGTTCCTCTTTTGTGCTAAATACTATGTGAAGTGCTGAGAGAGTGGTGAACCAGAAATACAATCCTTGCCTTGATGAGCTGACAGGATGGTGGGGGAGCCCATCAGTAACAGTAGATAGATTTATGATTACAGATCAGGAAAATGCTGTACAGGAAAAGAGCAGGATGTGGTGAAAAAAATAATAGGAGTGCTTTCAATTGAGTAGGGAACCGAGGAAGCCCTCCCTGAGTCAGAGACAGCCGCTTCAGACCTATAAGGGAAGAAAGAGAAGGGAAAGTATTCTAGATGGACAGCCTATGACAGCTCCAGGCAGGAAAGAGCTCAGCGGGCTCAGGGACCTGGAGTAGAGCAGCACAGAGAGGCACAGCTCACAGAGCTATCTCAGGTCTCTGGTAATCATGTTGCAATCTGTCCCCTCTGCAGTAATTGAGGCCTAGGCAGGAGCTGGTGGCAGTGATTCCTCGCTGATGTTCCAATTCTGCCAAGCTGGGATGAGGGTGTTGTGGAATGAGGGAAGAAATGAGTTTGAGTAAGGAGGTGTTGTTTCCCCTCCTGCTTTGTAAGTCCAATGTGTTTTCAGAGCACAGGGTTGTACCTCTTCCATGGGCTCACAGTAAGCCCCTCTGCCAAGCTCTGGGCTGGGTACATGTCACATGCAGCCTAGTTAGCCAATCAGTTTTGTCTTTCTGCAGGTGGCATTGTGAAAGGGGATGAGATTATGGCCATCAATGGCAAGATCGTGACAGACTACACCCTGGCTGAGGCTGAGGCTGCCCTGCAGAAGGCCTGGAATCAGGGTGGGGTAAGAACAAACCCCTCTCCCCTTCCTCCCTTACCTGCCTTTCTCAGACCCTTGCCTCTGCAGCCAGGGCTTATAGTTGGGGTGCCCCAGATTAGGGTGAGTATCCAAGGTGCAGACAACTCTTGGGTGATACCTACATACTCCCTTCCAGCCAGTGGACTAAATCTGACAGAATTTTGAGAAATAAATGTTAATTCTTGACCTTCAGTCCAAAAAGTCAGTGGCACAAATATAGACTTCAGAAGAAGGCACTGGCAGTCTTCTGACCCAAGAGAAAGACTAAGGCCTTCTCTATGTGTATACTGAATAGGAATCAAGAGAATGTTGGGGGCTCCTAGAAAGCAATAACAGAAGTAGAGGGCCAGGACAAAGGAGGGCTGGTGGTAGTCTTCTTTGTGCATATTAGACACCTACCTGGATCAGGGCCACAATGTAAGGTCTCCCACAGACTGTGCACTGCACAATCTGAGGGGGTGCCCTCTAGCAGACTTTAGTGTGAATGGTGCCCGCTCACACTGTGCAATGCACAACCTGTGCAACTGTATGCAGGCAGCTGAGCCTGAGATATTAAGTTCAGTGCCGAGGAAGCTGACCAGATGGGCCTGGGACCCACATGAAAGGATGTGGAGAAGAGAAGACTTACGGGTAACATGATGACTGTCTTTGATTATCTGAAGGGCTGCATTAGGGTAGAGGGAGCAGGAGTATTTATTCTGTGATTCTTGAGGATAGAGCTGAATTGGATGGAGGTTGGTCCTGGGGAGAGAGATTTCAGCTCAATCTTAGAAGCTGTGGCATGATAGAGGGGCCCAGTGCCATTTCAAGTATTTGTCAATGGACATGCCAAGGCTCAGGATGACAGTAACAGGCAAGCCAAAGATGGCAGTGATGGCATTGAAAGGACCAAGTATGAGGCTCAGAAAAGGCATGGAAGTCCCGCAGTTGATTGTGCCTCAGATGGCCTTGGAAGCCTGTTAGAAATACTCTTATCCAGGACCCACCCAAGACTATGAGGGGCCAAGTCCATGAGCCCACAGCTTTAAAGAAATTCTCCCAAGTGATTCAGAGGTTGCTGCCTGGCTCTGATCCAGAGATCAGCATTTGAGGACTTAGTGTCATTTGAGGCCTTGCAACCCTGTATCTATGGTTGAGAAGCCTCAAAGACTGGAAACTTCCCCAGCGTGTGGGGCTCCATCAGGGGGCCCATCTCCAGTAGGAGGGCCCTGCCTGCACCTACTTCCCCATGGGAAGAAGGCCCTGCTGGCCTACCCTGGGCTATGGAACCCAGTAATAGGAATGGAACCACCTAAGGTGGTTGGGAAGATGTGCCAACCACCTTATACGTGCCCCAAAATCACATGGCCTCTCCCTACAGGACTGGATTGACCTTGTGGTTGCTGTCTGTCCCCCCAAGGAGTACGACGATGAGCTGTAAGTGTGAGCAGGCACCTGGCCCCTGCCTCCTCCTCCCTCCAGCCTCATCCAGCTGGAAGCACATGGCTGCTGGCAGTCATGGGACGTAGAACACCCCTGGGCTAAGAGAAGCCATAGAACTAAGTCAGTGTCCCCAAGTAGTGTCAGAACTGCTTCCAAGACTGTCTTGACTGAATTCTTTACATGTGAGAAACCAAGGTTCAAGGTCTGAGACCAAGTACATAGTGAATTTGGGATTTAATTTGGGATGTTTGATTCCCTGCTCAGAACTTTATCCCTTGCAATATTATCAGATAAAGATTTCTGTGTCCATCTTTTGCTCTCTGAAAGGTCTTCCTGAGGTCTAGCTGTACTCCTTCATGCTGTGTCACCAGGCAGTCAGGACCTTGTCCCCACCCTGTGCCTGGTCTGTAGTTCTCTGTGATTCTTCCTGTCTATGTTTCCCCACCTCCCCTTATCTTTCCTTATCTTTCCCCAGTGCTCCCTCTCTTTCCCATTCATCCCTCTCCCCTCTCTTTGCTTGCTTCCTGTTTCTCTCTATCCCCAGCTCCGGCTCCAGAGTCCCTGCTTCTTCCTCTGTCATTCTGTATGCATTCTTACCTCTCTAGCATTCTCTGTCCTTCTGTTTCTGTGGCATTTCACCTCTGTTCTCACTTCAACACACCACCTCCTCACCCCTTACTACCCATCCATCAGTCAGTCACACATTCGCTGGCCACATCTTGCTTGCCTGTCCTGGCTGTGCCTGCTGGCTCCCCCTGCTGAGCAGAGCCGGAATTCCTGCATATCTTGGAGAAAACAAGGTCTGCAGCTCAAAATTCTGGAACCCAGGGCTTAGGCAGGAGCCAAGTGCAGGGAGAGGACCAGCAGAGCTCTGCCCAGGAATAACAGAGACCTTTTTGTTTCTTGCTCTGCTCTGCGTATGTAGCTCTTCTCTTCCCTCCTCTGCAGCCGAAAGCCCCCAGCCGGTCCGAAAGCTCCTTGAAGACCGTGCTCCTGTGTACAGACATGGGTTCCTCCTGCAGCTGGAGCCCACGGTGAATAGGCAGGCGGCCGCAGGGCCCCGTCTGCATGTGCTGCCCACACTGCTGGCAGGTTCTTTGGACTGGCGCCTGAATGGGGACCCAAGGCACCATTCCCGAAGTACCTGTGGGGGCCTGCTGTGAGCCCCTGTGGGATGCTGTGGGACTCAAGGAATGGTATGGAGCCCCACCAGGAGCCCTGGGCCAGGACCCTGAAGTCCTGATGCACCACAGCTTTTGGGACCCACCTTGGGTCACAAACAGCACCCAAATGAGCAGGTGGCACTAAGCACAGTTCTCAGAGGACAGTGACAGTGCCTCCTGCCAGGTATGCTGGCCTAGGAGAACCACAGGAAGTCCCACCTGATTTTCTCCCGGAGGTGCCACCCTTTCCTGTGCTTGGACAGAGCTAGGGCCACACACAGTATTTAAGGCTGGTCCAAAGAATCAGGGTTGGTGGATTTCGTTGGCTCCTGTCCTGTTGTGTCCTGTCACTGCCTGAGCCTGGTTCAGCCCACACCATCCTCTGCCTTCTTTCTCCCTGGTGGGATACACCATGGAGCCCAGCCTTGATGTGTGTTTCCCATCCTGTGCCCTGTGGCTGTGAAACTGGGATTTGGTGTGGCCTAAAGCCCACAGCTGGCAGCCTCTGGAGAGGACCCAAGCTTGGACTTGTAGGCTTTTCTGTTACAAGTTTCCCAAAACATTAGGGCCTCATGCTTCCAAGACAGTTGGCTTGTTATGTATGGCTTCTGGGGTATCTAAGTGGCCCTATGTTTTCTGTCACTTGCCCTTAGCAAGGGACCCTCATTTCTCTTCCTTCTGGTCCCCTCCACTCCCATCTCAGGTATTCCTCCTGCTTTCTCCCTGGCCTCTTGTGTGCTGTGGCTGTGGCTGTAGCTGGTGTGTAGCCACTCAGGGCCACACCACAAGGAGCCCCTGGAGGTTGGAAGGGCCTTGTGCTGCCATGGTAGGGCTCCCCTCTGTGTGCCTCACCCTGGGCCCAGTGTTACCCACAAAGCTCCTGCACCCACTTGGTCTGTTTCCCGCTCCTTGCAGGACCTTCTTCTGAAGTCCAGAAAGAGAAACTAAATTCACCCTTAGCAGATGGTGAGCTCTGAACCCATCCGGAACACAAAGCCTGAGACCAGCTTTGAGAGAGGACAGTTGCAGACATCAGACAGAATCCCCCAAAATCCAGGAATTTCAAACCCCTTTGGCCCCTGGACAAGGAACACCGGGCCACTCCTGAAGGCCATCATGGAGCGGAGGGCAGCCTGCTGTTTTGGATAGGACCTCAGGGCTCCAGCTCTGGTTTATTTCCTCTGTGACTGTAGCCTCTCCCAGCACTGGGAGGCCTTTCCCAATCCCTAATTGGACCCAACTTCTAAGTCTCTCTTCTCTCCACCATCTCTTTCTTCTCCCTCCTATGGTAGTTGCTGCCACAAACCTTACTCTGAGCTCATTAATAAAAAACACATTTCTTTACCAGCTTATGGGGGTGCATGTGGATTTCAGCAGTGATTCATGGCTGTCAAATAAGAAACCACAAGGTCTGAAACCCTATCCAAGGGTGTGAATCAGACCCCAGCATGAAAGAGGTGACTGAATGACCAGAGCTGGCTTGGAGTAGAGGATAAGTGAGCAGGAGGCCCACTGCACTAGGCTGTAGTGTGTTCTTAGCAGAGAGTGGGCAGGAAATGAAGTCTGTGTGGCAGGGGCTTAATGCCATTCCAGAAATCAGGGAGCCCCAAAGGGTCACCACCTCAAGGTGTGGAGTGCCCCAGCTTCTCTCCAGGATAGCATGCCCACAGATGCTTGCCCTGAGGTTACCAAGACAGGACAAGACGGAGAAAGCTGCTCCTTCCATGAAATGACATCCAACAGAATCTCAGAGAGATTCTGAGGAAAAGGCTTGAGGCAGGAGGATGCAACCCCAAAGCGTCCTAGTACAGGAACCAGGGACTCTGGCTCTGGAGAAGAGTGGGGTGGTGTCAGTGTAGTATCTCCTGGAAATCCAAGATGAGGAGACTGGATGTCACAGAGCACTAGAAGTGGAAGGCGGTTCTGAGCGCATGTATCCTGAAGCACCAGCTCTCTTCATCCCTTGGTGGCTGCTTGGTGGCTTCTCAGCTTCCCAGCTAACCTCCCGTCTCTGCCACCAGCTTCCTCTGCTTCCTCAGAGCTCCACTTGAGCATGGCCATATAATCATCTAGGTGACCTTTCAGCTGTAGCTCCACCACCAGCTGCATCACCCTAATAGGACCAACTCACCTGAGTAGACAGCACTTGGTTTAGGGACCAATCCCAGGCTCAGTCAGCTATGGCGGGCAATGCCAGACTTTCTGATCTCCTCAAAGGAAACCAAGCCTCAGTGACCTAATTACTGGCTCCCAAAGACAGTAGCTATTTGGAGGAGCTCCCTGCATTTTCTTATCTTGCACCTATCTTGGCTTTACAACAATTCCAAAACCAAGGTAAGAAGTGGGAGCCATATTTGCTGACACCTACTATGTGCCAGGCCTGGGCTAGACTCGAATCTACTCTATGCAACCCTTCATTAAAATGCCTCATATTTTGGACTGTTGAGAGAACACTTCTCCCCACAGTTGAAAGACAGCTAAGATTCTGCTGTTCCATGGTGGTGACCTCCTCTTGTGACCTACAAATACTGCTGAGTCCTTTGGCTTGAGATGCCTGGAATCTTACCATTTGAAATTCATCACTGACTGTTTTTAGTTATTGACACCTCAAAGGGACTGAGCTCATCAGCACTTATTAGGACTTGACGAATGAGATGGTAAAGACGGCTTAGAGGAGAAGGCTTGCTACCGGGCATGGGAGGAAGAGGAACTGAGAGGGGTCTGGAGACATGGGTGACATTAAATCCTTAGTCATAAGGTCACCTAGAGCTGACAAGGTATGGGGGCTACAATAGTCCTCTTTATTGTCATCAAAGAAATCAACTCCCTTTAAAAGCAGCCCTATATTGTACCCAAAGTACACAGTCAATGGGCATTCCTCAGTCATGAAGGAGAAAGATCCAGAGAGCCAGGCGCTGGTGGCTCATGCCTGTAATCCTAACTACTCAGAAGACAGAGGATTGTGGTTTGAAGCCAGCCTGAGCAAACAGTTTGTGAGACTCTATCTCGAAAAACCCTTTGCAAAAAATAGGGCTGGTAGAGTGGCTGAAGATGAAAACCCTGAGTTCAAGCCCCAATACTGCAAAAAAAAAAAAAAAAAAAACAAAGATCCAGGGAATTTGCATAAAGTGGGGGGCTGAAGGCAGTTCTTGGTCTGTTTGGGGAGCCGTGAGGGCCACAAGTCAGGCCAGAGTACACAGTGGGGACTGGGCCAGGCATGGGGATCCTCCTCAGTGGCAGACTGAGCACCTAGAACTACTGCCATCCAGCTGAGGATGGCCCAGACCCTCCATCCCTCCCACCACCTGCAGGGCAGAACCACGCCTTCCGTTCCCATGCTGACCAGCCAACAGGAGCCGCTAACAACTCATCATTGCTGGCCCTTGTTCGTTACTCTAGAATTAACCCCCTCTCCCTAGATATTCAGAAAACTGAGGTCCAAGTGGTGGGAGAGCTGCCTGATGTACTGCACCACGCAGTGGAAACACAAACCTATGAGGCTGGGAATTCCAGGCTGACCTTTGACTCTGAACTTTCGGCATTCCGTCCCTCTCATTGAAGTTGCTTCCCACAACTAGTCCCCAGGGCTGCTGAGCAGGCTTTGAGCCTCTCACCTCTGTCTCTGGCAGTCGGGGTGAAGGACTTGAATGAATGACCTTTGCTTCTGAGGCACTCCCCTTGGGCCTGTGTGGCTGGGAACCTTGCTCGCACCCAGTTCCAACCGAATTCTCAAGTTTCAGATTTGGATAAGAATCTGTTTCCAGAGCTCAGAGCCTTGTCCTCTGCTCTCCCCGTGGTAACACTTCACTGGCCCCTGGGGCCCTGCCTCTGTGGGAACTAGAAGGACAGGCCTGGGCCCCCAGGAAGGCAGGTGGGCTGCCTGACATAGGAGAAGGCAGAGAGCCACAGCTGTCCTCCTGGGACAGGACAGGCCCAGGAGGCCCCATTCTCAGTAGAGATAAGATGCTACTGACT